AATTTTCAATCTCATCTTCTAATTCTAGGATTAATTCATTTAATCGACTAATAGCAAATTCATTTCCCCTCTTTGGTCTAGTGATCCCAGTCGAAATTAAAAAAATCGGCTAAGCCGATTTTTCGACTCAGTCGGTCAATTTTTTCTAAAATCGGCTAGCCGATTTTATAAGTTTGTACTCAATGAAAATACCTATATCAGATATAGGGTTACGTATGTATGTATTTAATTTTTAACTGTATAAACTATATATTCGATAACAGGACTTTTAATTTTTATTATAATCCAGATAAGAATTTATTTTTAAAAAAATTACTCTAAATCAGGATAAGGGTTAAAACACTGTTGATTTTCTTTTAGAAAAAGCAAGTCATGTACTGTGTTAGGATGAAGGCGATTTCGTTTTTCAGTAACTATATTCCCGGCATCAGAGAACAAGCGCTCAGATGGAACTGAGGTTCCGGGAATAGATAATAACCGTTGTGCTTGATATGCCATTAAAGGAAGGCTTGTTTTGTTATTATGCCAAAAGATTAACGAGTTTTGATCTTGATAGAGAGGATCGGAAAGATCATACTTAACCATTTTAGGCATGTCAAAATAGATTTTAAGTTCTGTTTCGACAGGACACGATTGGTGAGAGGTGTCTTCAAATAGTGAGCTTAATAATGAAGTAGATGAATCATTGTTGAGTAAGTATTTTGAAGAATAATTATTATTTTTGATATCTTCTTTCATTCGATGCTGCAATTCATTTTTTGTTAATTCAAATTTTTTTGGCTCAAAATTTAAATCTTTAAATCTTGGATCCAACATAGCTGCGATATATCCGTCTATTCCTGGTTCTTCCCAACGTTCACCAAATGACAACTCAATTTCATCCCGTACTTCGCATATAGTTGGGTGTGTAAGAGTTCTTTCTTTTTGAAATAGGTGTTCTTGTAAGATTTTAACTAATGGTAGCATCATTGAAAGAGTAGGGTAATGGTCTCCGCCTACTATAGTTGTAACATGTGCGAATGGAGCTAATAATTCAACAAGTTCCTGAATTCCTAACAAATCATCATCATTAAGAAGTAAGGTTTCAAGCGTTCTAGCATTATTTCTAACATCTCTTTCTTTATCTTTTGCAAGATCGCTTTGTAGCTTTTTTATCGCTTCATAAAGTGCAAGTAGCCGATTTAGTAAAAGATATGTTGAGTTCCACCTCGTTGTAGTATCGTTTGAAATTGGATCCAAAATCGAAGCATTTTGATTAGTGGTTAGTAGGTTTTTTGTTTTAGCAATTTCAAGTTGTATTGACCGTAATTTTTCTCTATATTTATCTTTTCCTGCAATAAATGAGTTAAGAGCTTTTGCACGAGTTATAAGGTCGGTTGCATACTTTAAACCATCCATTATTCCTAGTTGAATGGTATGAGCTGTGCATCGAATATGTAAGATTCCTATATCTTTTAATGCTTTTACCATTGAGCTCGCATTGTCAGTTACACCTGCTATGCATTTGTTACTTAAATCCCATTTAGCTAATTCTCTTCTTAAACAATCTTCAATGTGTTCTGATGTATGCGGATATGGAAAACCTTCAATTGTAAGTAAAGCTTTATGCATTTCGAATTCAGGAGAAAGCCAATGTGCAGTAATTCCGATATAGGGTTTGTGAGCTTTGGTCTATAAGTCTGTAGTAAATGCGAAACTTTCTAATGTATCGTTAATTAAAATTTTTAGACTATTTTCAGAATACTCCATTGAACTAAACATTTTTGTTTAAATATATCTTCACACGGAAATTGATATTGTGGTTCTGCTTCATATAAGATATTCTGAAATCGTTCATTTGCTAAAACATTAAAAGGCTGCATATCGTCAATTAACCATGCCAAGATTCTAGAGGTAATTCTTTCCTGTTTTTTTTTTGACAATAGTACTTTGCGAGTAACTAACTCTAATAATGTGGGCTGTAATAAATCTAATTTAACAGGTTGTAATCGTGTTGTTTCTCTTTTACCATCTAAAGGTAATAACGAACCAGTTTGATTTAATCTATGCTCAGTTCGAAGATGACCAGCTAAATTTGTAGTACTTGTTGTTAATTCGAATGTAGCTGGACACTGTTGAAGATTATTATCATCACCAATCCATGCACAGCATTTAATTTTTTTAGCAACTTTGTCTTTTAACATATAACGCCATACCCAGCTTTTTCCTGGTTTAGTTTTTTTATTCATATTGTTATTTTGTTTCTTACTAATTTTTCTTTTATTTTTTTGTGATTTTAATGCTTGCGAGATTGTATTTTGAGCAGAATTACATGGATCTTTATCTTTATCTGAAGAAGGTCTGCTATCAACAAAAAGTTCATCATCCAAGGAAAGTTCATCATCTAAGTATAATGGTTCATTATCCGATAATAAAGGCCGTTGTTCATCAGATAATAAGAGCAGTTCTTTATCTGACAACCAAGAAGATTCTTCATTAAGCAATAATTCATCATTAGAGAAATTTTGCAAAGACATTTTGTATATTAAATGCTAATAGCAAAAAAGAATTCGGAACAAGAATTTATATATAAAGTAAATGATTTTTTTATTTATTTAGAATTCGAATTATTATAATTTTTATAATTTTTTAAAAAACTTTTATTAATTCGTAGTAATTGGGCTTGGGTTGTAAGATGCCTATCTTTTTTACTTGAACTTCCATACTAATTATTTTCATTTGCATAGCCATTGGTGCAGGTTTACCCATTTTGTGTTATTCTTCGTATTCAGAATTTAACCACAACTATGGATTCTATTATTTTACTTTTTTATTTAAGCTATTTGGGTACAGTAAAATTTATGTTTAGAGCGTAGGAACTAAGTCATATTATGATAATTATTTCTAGAGCAAGATATACTTTATGCGAGTTAAGCCTAGTATACATTTTGCATTTATGACTTCGTGTGAGATATGAGATAATTCAACCAAGCTGAATTTTTGGGTTTACAGATTGGATTTTAGTGATATTTCAGATATTTATTATATTTGATAAATCACTAATAACTATGATTTTTCATTAAAATTTATTGCGCAAAATATGATACAATTGCACAAAGATGATATCAAAATCAAGTAAAAACAATTATGACATAAATATGACGTATTTGCATCTTCTAATTAATAAACTATTGAATCGCTAAATTTGTGTAATTATAATAATTTTAAATAATTAATTGTGAGCATTTTAATATAGTAATTACAAATAGCTATCTGGATTTAATCCAGAATTCAAATATTCGAACCAGAGATCGTTTTTTGGATTGGTCAAAGAATTTAAATAACGGACTAAGGATGCGCCCAAAACTAACTTTAAATAATCTAGTATAGACTTAATCCGGATTTGACTGAATTAACCTGTCTAAAATATAATCGAAACACTACAAATGATAAATATATAAAGAAGTTTATTTAAACTATAGTTTATTTAAAATTTTCGACTAATATATGTAATTCGTTCACAACTCTTCCCGACGATCACCTGTACCATTTTTTTCGCAAAAACCGAACTGTAAATTTATAGTTAATATAGCAAGA